TCCCTGATAGGAGAAAACACTTAGAATAATAGTAACCCAGGAGCAAGGAGACTGGTGCTCAGTAAGAGTCTCTGCGATTCTTTTGAGGGGAAAGGGGGAGGGGGGCATGAGTCATACTTAGAGACTTCCAGCTTTGTAAGGCAGAGTGGCCAGGGACTTCCTAAAGCAAGCTGTTCGGGGTGAAGACTGGGCCCTGAGTCCCGGAGGGGCGGGGGGCTCACAAGGGCATCTCCCATGTGGTGGGCTGTTCTCATGGCCGCTGAGCAGCGCACAGGGGAGCTGTTCAGCCTTCTCAAGCACGGAGGTGCTGTCTCTCCCTGCCCACTGTCTTCCTGCCTCCCAAGGGGAACATCGGGAGAGAATAAGACTCTCAGACCACCTTTCCGTACAGCAGGAGATGGCGCGACAGACAGTACGATGTGAGATTGTGCTGCTCTTTCGGACACAACTAAACAAAACGAAAACCATAACACAGCCTCAGTGTCTTTAATGAGGTCCCTCTTATATTCCTAAATGCTGATGCATGAAATATGTGTCAAGATGTGGGTTAAAGGGGCCAGCAGGAGAGAACTTCAGGCCCTGAAGGAAAAAGAAATTCTCAGCAGCTCCATTCAGGTCGCAGGCTGGAAATCTATTTGATGTGAACCTCGACAATCCGGTGCTGTTTTATAATCTAGGGCATGCATGCATTAGCACTTGGACTTGGGCTTGAATTGCAAATTTGATTTTTGCCGTTCACATTTTAAAAGGTTCGCCAGATGCTTGGAAAACATTAGGGTTTTGTGGGCTAGTGAACAGAAATCCTATCATTCTACCTCTTTGTGTTGTGGACACCCGGAAAGCAGCCTCTCTCGGTTGCAGTTGCAACTATTAGCTTCCCCCTGAATTTTAAAGATAGTACCGTATTTGCCCGGTGTACTGCGCCCCCACGTTTTTATGCACATTATCCACAGGATTATTATACCCATTACTAAAGCCATGGTATGTGATCATTATACCCATATACAACATGCATCCTTCTTTTTCCCTCGAGAATGTGGGCAAGAAAGTGCACGTTATATGTGGCAAAATACAGTCATGGCGAATTGGCGAAGGCTTGCTGGGTGCTTACCAGATGCGAGGCATGAAACTAAGTGTGGTTTCTGTATTGTTCAAGCTCAGCCTCAGAGTAACTCTGTGGGCTAGATGTTACTAACCGGTTTTGCAGATGGAGGAACCAAGGCTTAGGAGAGGTTATGTAAGTTTCCAGTGTTCATTCATTGAACACGTTATTAACTCAGTGCTCGCTGTGATCTGCTGGGGCTTGATCGTGAGCAAAACGGAGAAGCCCCTGCCTTCGTGTACCTCACTGCCTGACGGCCCCGGCATCACGGTGGGCACCAACGGCGGGCATCACAGCCAACACTGAGTACATACCAGACAATGTTTATATACTTCCACTCTTAAGTGGGGGGTCTGGGATTTGAACCCAGGTGCTCTGGCTCCAGGGCCAGTGCTCCCGTGTCTGTACCACTGCCTCAGCCAGCGAGGCCCACTCTGCCTCCGTGGCTGTGGCCACCACTGCCTCCCAGAGGAGTAAACAGCATTTGTCTTCACTTTCTCCATCCGGCCCACCCATTTCGTGGCTCCAGAGCAGAATCATGCACCTGAACTTTCTAAAATGAAGTCAGGTTCATGTTTAAGACAAGTGCTTGGTTTTTTCAGGTTCACATTGCTTCAGGAGGTGCCCAGGGCCCCAAGCCTTGTTTCCTTTAGGCCTTGGAGCAATGATAGTTGAACTTGCCCCTGTGTGCTGGAGCTACGTTCAGGTTCCTGCTCCAGCTGTCATCAGAACCACAGTCTCTAGTTTGTTCCATAAATAAGGTAATTTTGTAACAAGGTCTACCTAACAGGATGGATTGAGCCATTATCTTCTTTGAAGTTAAATTCCAGTGTGTCCCAATTCAAGCTTTGTTTTTAATAGTTCTGGGGCTTCTACCAAGTGTTGGCAGACAGGGTGTTGTGACTGGAAACATAGGACTTAGGAACGAGGGCTGGGCTGGATTTTTACCCAAGGACCTTTTCTGCTTATTTTTACCGTGGGTTTCTCTACGTATGAGAAAGGTGACCAAGAGCCAGGTGACGCCAAGAGATTGCTTGGCAATAAAGTGGCACTTGTTAGAAGCCCCACACCATCTCCAGGTGGGTTTGATTTTACATGGGGTTCCTCCTGAGCCTGGTCAGGTTCACCTGTGAGTGCCAAGGGCCGGGCCAGAGGAAACCCTGCTTCTCCGCCCCTCCCCCTCAGGCCCGTGATGCCACTAAAGCCCCTGCTGACCCAGCCTAGTCCTCCCTGTGTCATTCGGGGAGCGCTTTCCCTGCACGCAGTTTCTGCCCATTCTTTCACCAGAAGTCCCCGACGCTGCCCTTTTCTGGCGGAAAGGAAAGGGGCCGACGGGTGAGGTTTATGGTTTATAAATTCATAGAGTTAGCAAGACTTTTCTTAACTTGGCTTCTTTATTTATTTATTTTTTTATTGATTTTTAGAGAGGGGGAAGGGAGGGGGGACAAATGGAGAGAAACATCGATGTGCAAGAGAAACATCCACGGGTTGCCTGGTATACACCACAGCTGAGGGCCAAACCCACAACCCGAGGCATGTGCCCCTACCAGGAATCAAACCCACGGCCTTTCGGGTTACAGGACAATGCTCCAAACCACCGCGTCACACCAGCTGGGGCTTAACCTGACTTCTTAAATGAGCTCAGTTAAGTGGACACAACACACTCCAGGCTAAGAGAGCTCATCACTGGGAATGTAGAATCTCCAAGTCAGGCATTCCTTCAGGTCCCTGAGGCTGCCTCCTGCTCTGATTTCAGCTCGCCTCTTTGAGCCCCTCCGAGTTATTACACTACGGCATCGTTCATTTAGCTCGCCATTACTTATTAACCACGGCTCTGAACTTGAACACTAAGTGCAACCCCACAATACACAGTAAGCAGGTCAGGGGCAGCCCTACCTTCCAGAAGCGCACTAAATAGACACTTAAGCAGCTGCCCCCAAGTATGGTAGAAGCTATGATGGGGAGGAAGAGATTGCTTGGGAAAAGTCATTCCAGCACATCCGACCCAGTAGAGGCGATTCAAAGGAGAGTGTAGGGAAGGGACCCAAGAGGAGATTTCCTAGAGTAGGTGAAATCTCAGACACAACCTGAAAGATGAGCAGCTATTAACCTGGAGAGGGGAAGATGGAGGGGAAGAAGTGTGTTCCAAGAGAAGAAAACATGTCCAGAGTTCTGGAGGCAGAAAAAAGCCCGGCATGCTTAAGGAACTGAAGTTTCAGGAGCACTGATAGGACACGTTGGGCGGAGGTTGGGGAGGTGCTGCTTTCTGGGGAGCAGGAAGACAAGCCAGGAATGATGACCAGAGCCTGGTGAAGCAGGCTCCGTTTGGATTTCAATCTAAAGACAATGGAAATCATTACAGGGTTATAAGCGGGAAAGGCGATATAGCTAATCTATATAGATATAGATAGATAGAGCTAGATAGAGCTAGATGTAGCTATAGATAGATAGATAGATTTAAAAGACATGGCAATATAACGAATAGATTGATAGAAAGCAAAACAATGAGTAAAAGAGTAGAAGAAAGAGTAAATGGATGAACGAATGGAGCCAGGACAAGGAGATCAGTCAGGAGACTGTTTAACAATCTAGCCACAGGCACTGGGGCCCTAGCCTGGGGTCGTCACAGCGAGGGTGGAGGTGAGTGGGCATGTGCGAGTGACAGTTTGGATGCAGCATCCGTGGGGCTGGGCGACTGGCGGTGCGAGATGGTTCGAGAAGAATGCACAGGTTTCTGATTTGGGTTACTGAGCAGTACTGAGATAGGAACACGGATGAGGATCCTGCTTGACCCTGAAAGATCACCAGCTCACCAGCTCAGTGTTGACAGCCGTTGAGTTTTAGGTGCCCGTGAAACACCCAGTGAGAGAGCATTGGAGTGAGAGGAGCTCAGCAGAGAGGGTGGGGCCGGGTACCTTGTTATGAGGACATCGGCCTGTTGTAATGGAGGACACCACCTGGGTTAGGGCATGGAATAGACAGGAAAGAAAGCTTAAGACCGAACAATGAAGAATTCCATCCTTTAAGAGAGAGAAAGAAGACTACATAAGAGGCTGAGAAAGAGCCGATGGAGAGAAAGGAGGCAATCCAGGGAAGCATGAGTTCATGGGACCCCAGGGGAGGCATGCTCTTTTTTTTAAGAGAAGTTTTTTTTAAGATTCTATTTATTTCTTTTTAGAGAGGGAAGGGAGGGAGAAAGAGAGAGAGAGAAACATCAATGTGTGGTTGCTGGGGACCTGGCCTGCAACCCAGGCATGTGCCCTGACTGGGAATTGAACCTGCGACGCTTTGGTTCGCAGCCCGCGCTCAATCCAGTGAGCTACGCCAGCCAGGGCGAGGCATGCTCTTAGAACAGGGTGGGCCACTGCATGACAGGATGCCGGAGGTGGTGTGAAAGAGAGCACAGAGGGAGGTTTGGGCTATGGTAACCATTCATCTTCATGTCTACACTATTTAGTAAACGTGTTAAATTTTCTATTCTTAGAGTATTTTTATTGCTCTTTAAAACATTGTTGATTTAATCCTTTAATGTTCTCAATGAAGGTGTGACAAGAATTCAAGCATTAACGTCTTCCTCGAGTGTGGTACATTTGGGTCCAATCTCACGTTCAGCATTCATTTGAAAATAATAATAGGTAATTCTTCCCCACCCTCCAGTCTCTCAGGAGATTGTTTTCTGTCCCCTAGCCTAGTGAGCTCTGCTTTTTGGCTAAAAAAAAAAAAGTGTCCCCATAGAATTTGAATTGAAGCCTGGCCAATTTTGAAATTAGAATTATAACCTCTTTACTAGGTGTTATCCACCACTTAAAAGTTAGTTGACAGCAATCCCTTTTGGAACGTGTAAAGAGGAAACTCCAAGCTGGAGATTCAGGCCTTCTCTTTGTTTCCTCTTTTCCAGCTCCAGGAGACTGTGAAAAGGAAGTTGGAAGGAGCCCGCTCGCCACTCAACGGAGACCAGCAGAATGGGGCTTGCGATGGGAGTTTTTCTCCAACCAGCAAGCGACTACGAAAGGAGGTTCCCACGGGGATGGAAGCCATCAACAGTTTGCCCAACAACATGCCGCTGCCTTCAGCTTCTCCTCTTCACCAACTGGACCTGAAGCCTTCTCTGCCCTTGCAGAACAGTGGAACTCACACTCCTGGGCTTCTGGAGGACCTAAGTAAGAATGGCAGACTCCCGGAGATTAAACTCCAGCCTGTTAACGGCTGCAGTGACCTGGAAGACAGCTTCGCCACCTTGCAGAGCAAGGGCCTCAAACAGGAGCCTCTGGACGACCCTACTTGCATCGACACATCAGAAACATCTCTTTCAAACCAGAACAAGCTGTTCTCAGACATTAACCTGAATGATCAGGAGTGGCAAGAACTAATAGACGAACTGGCCAACACAGTCCCTGAAGACGACATACAGGACCTGTTCAACGAAGACTTTGAAGAGAAGAAGGAGCCGGAGTTCTCGCAGCCAGCCACCGAGACCCCCCTCTCCCAGGAGAGCGTGAGCGTGAAGAGCGACCCCTCTCACTCTCCCTTCACGCACGTCTCCATGGGCTCTCCCCAGACACGGCCTTCTTCCTCCGGCCCTCCCTTTTCCACCGTCTCCACGGCCACCAGTTTACCTTCCGTCGCCAGCACTCCCGTGGCTCCCAACCCCGCAGGCTCACCAGCAAACTGTGCGGTCCAGTCCCCGCCAACTCCAAACCCAGCCCACACCCCCGGCCAAGCTCCGCCTCGGCCTGGAAGCGGCTATCTCCTCGGTGCGGCAGCGGTGCCAGTGGCTGGCTCGGGGTCGGGCCCCGGGGCCGTGCCCAGCGCTGACCTGTCTCCGGCGGAGCAGCTCAAGCAGATGGCGGCGCAGCAGCAGCAGCGGGCCAAGCTCATGCAGAAGCAGCAGCAGCAGCAGCAGCAGCAGCACTCCAACCCGCCTGCCAGCTGGTCCCCGCTGGGGCCTCCGTCCAGTCCCTACGGCGCGGCTTTCCCCGCAGAGAAACCAAATAGCCCCATGATGTACTCCCAAGCCTTTAACAACCAAAACCCAGTAGTGCCTCCAATGGCAAACAACCTGCAGAAGACGACAATGAATAACTACCTCCCGCAGAATCACATGAACATGATCAATCAGCAGCCAAATAACTTGGGGACAAGCTCCTTAAGCAAACAGCACAACCTTCTCACTTACGGCAACACCAAGCCTCTGACCCACTTCAGCGCGGACTTGAGTCAGAGGATGACGCCACCCATGGCCAACGCCGGCAAAAACCCGCTGCTGCCGTACATGCAGCAGCAGCCCCCGCCGCAGCCGCCGCCGCAGCAGCCGCCGCCGCAGCTCCAGGCCCCCAGGGCGCACCTGAGTGAGGACCAGAAACGCATGCTTCTCATGAAGCAGAAAGGAGTGATGAACCAGCCGCTGGCCTACGCCGCCCTGCCGTCCCACGGTCAGGTAAGTGTGAGAGCGACGCCCACTTGCAGCCGTGCTGGTGGCGCGTTTCAGACCGGCGAGGTGTGATGCGTTGGCACTAGCAGGGTGCAATTAATTACCTGCGGAAGTCCTTCCTACGCATTGTCATGTAGCTGCCCGTGCTGGGGGTTTTAGTTCCTCTGTTTTTCCTGAGAGATGGAAAAGGTTGGCCTGATTGCCTTTCCTGTATTAGAATGTCTGGGCATCCAACTTGCCCTGTTCCCGGCAGTTGATAAGAAATGAAAAATTACATGACATTCTCACTCGGATGGGGGCTGCGCCGTGGAGGTCACAGGGCCCAGCCTGCTGCTCTTATCTCCGGGTCATTCAGTCCTAGACGCGGGCCAGTGGGAAGGCCAGAGCTTTCGGTGTCTCTCCAGCAGTGTGATAAGGCCCTGAACAACCTTCACCTAGCTTACGGAATTATGACGCGTGGAAATCTAGGCTCCCGCTGTTCCGACGTGGGGGAGGGTTTTGTATTTTCAAAGCGAACCGGAGGACAGATTTTTGTAGGACTACTCAACACTTAAACCTCTGTTGCTGACCTAAGGCAATTAGAAGCTGCTTCAACCTCGTGGCTTGGGAATACAGTCAGACCTCTGCAATTTGTTCAGCTCCGATTCAGGGCAATTTGACGGGGACTGTACCTTAGAGCTGTATCAAAATAAAGCCTCCTCTTTCCCACCTCACGACATCCTAGTTTAGATAGTAGGGCACTCGGTAATCCACAGTAAAAATGAGTGGTAGCCAGCTGGGGAGTGAATCCCCGGTGAGAGACATTCGCTTGCCTCACCCTGACCACTGTGGCAAGCAGCCAGAGCTCCTGTAACGTGTAACACTTTCTCTGGAGGAGAAGGAGAGGGGCGTGGGGCAATGCATTGTTCTGCTGACCTTCTCCACACAGGGGTGAATTCATGAACCATCGCTGTACTGCACTGCAGATTGCTAGCTTGCGCCTAATCCTCTCAGGAAGCCGACATTTGCATTGCCGTTGGAAATTTTGCAGGAAAGTCTTTGCTTTAGGGGCCCTCGTGTGCAAACAGGTTACAACTAGTGGTTGGATATGTGTCCACAGTTGGATGTTTCAGCAGTAATGCAGGCAGATCTTGCATCAGTAGGCTGCTGTTTGCGTCTTCTCTCTCCTGGTGTGCCCCTTCCCCCATACCCACCCAGTCGCCTTAAAGTTGACGGAGGCTCCAAGAGCTGGAGGGTGCTGGCCTGCAGAGACAGGCCTGCGCTCTTCTCCTCCACAGCCTTCCAACCCCAGAACCTCACAGTGGTTTCTTGTCTGCACACGCCAGCCAGCTCTAACTAAATTCTGTCTGGAGAAATAAAAATACAGCTCGGTTTATGTCAGCTGCACTTGGTCACTGATAGAAAAACATCATTGAAATGTGGGCTTCTGTTTTATCTTGGTTTCATTAAATAAATGTATACCACTGGAGAAATGCAACACTGTATACACTTCCACATTAAGTTGTGAAGCAGGCAAAAATGGAGGCAACATACAGGGGTGTTCATTGTAGCCCTGAACGCGTCCTAGGTTTATGTGATGAGACTGCAAACTGTCAGAATGGTCTCTTGTTAATCTTAATACAGATTGTGCTTCTACATTGGCTGTTTTCACGTCAGCCACAGTAAAATATTTCCTCTGAGCCAGACCAAAGATGACTAATTCCAACCCACAGGCTCTGCGGACAGAGCCCGTCCTCAGTCCACAGCCTCACCCCCCGAGTGTCTCCTGAAATTCGGTAATTTGGGATGAGGTCCTTGTCTTTGCTGGAACGTGGATTTTAAAGGTACTCATTTCAGGTCCTGATGCTTGCCTAGCTACGAGAAACTGAATCCCTGAGCTGCAGAGGTTGTGTTTTGAAAGAGCTCAGGCAGCTGAAGAAATGAAAGTGATGGTTTTCTGGCCTAAATCTGCTGGTTCATCCTCTATTCCTTCCGTCTCATGAGGTCCTTTTGGGGCGGGCAATCCTTCCTTCTTGAGTGAGGCCTCTTTAGAATAATCACTTTGTAACCTGATAAGGAACCATCAAGCAAAAGCATGCTTTTCAATGAAACGTTAACTCGCCACTGTTTGAAACAAGCTTCAAAATACATGTATAAACATGTGAATATCTTTCTGTACTCATACCATTTATTTCGTGCTTTTGTCTGCTTCCGGAGCAGTATTTACATAGCTCATTGCATAGTTCGTTGCGCCGTATGTGAGTACATTGCACGAATACGTTCACGAATTACAGGAAGGCATAGAATGTAATTATACACGGGTGCTGTTCAGGTTTGTGTTTTGCTCTTGCTAGTGAAAATTCACTTCATTTCTTTTTTGGCCACAAGGACTGTGATCAACACTTAGTTTCACTGACTGATTTAAACACCGAAAGTAATAACACTGGAACACTGATTTCAAGATAATTATTTCATACAAATGTTCACTTACTTGGGCCATTTGCAGAATATACCAATTCTCTTAGACATGAATAGAAATTCACTGAGATCCTGGATATTAAAAAAAAAAAAAAAAAAAAGCAGGGAGCCAAAACTAGAAAAGATCCAAAAAGAACTTAGTTCAAAATTTTGAATGTCTTATCAAGAAATTTTACTTCTGAGAATGTATCTAGTATTCCTTATAATTAGAGAATTTAACGAAGATTTGTGTACAAAGATTATGCACATGGTGTTACTTACAACAGCGAGGAACCGGAACCAAAGTGAGCACTTTGGGAACGCCGGGCACATACACATCACGGCGCTCAATGACAGATCACGTGGGGATGCTCGCAGGTCATGAAGGGAAGGCGACAGGTCATACAAGCGCTTGGATGTTACAGTCCAGACTGTGTCTTTGATACACACAGCAAAAGACCAAATAACTACAATATTAGGAACGGTGTTTGGGGCTGGTAAATTATTAGTAATTATTGTTTTCCTCTCTGTAGTTTACTAAGTTTTCTATCATACCTGTATGTTAGAAAGCGTCACCAACTATGAAATTTGGTATGTATGTTATTCCCACCATTGGGAATAATAATTTTTAGGGAAGGGAAATCCCTTATTTGAAAAAAGTTTATACTATGCTAATTCTTTAAAAGAAAAATCTTATTTTTCCAATTTGCCAGTTGGATTGAGGTGATACCATTCCCGTTTACTCATATACAGTATTAGTTTTGAGTCTTTCCCTTTCTTTCTCCACCTCTTCTTCTTACTTCTTATCATCTGCTCGATTCCTGTAAACTTCAGGTAATGGAGTGACAATGAGTATCATTGAAACGTTCACCATGATAAACTCTCAAATCTTCTCCGCATTCTGTTCTTATATTATTTCTTTGATCGTGTCTCTTTCCCTTGTCTGTCTCATTTTTTACTTTCTGGAACTTCTGTTCATGTATTGGACTTTCTGGGTTGCTCTCTAATGTTTAAAATACATGTTTCTGTGATGAAATCACCAGAGCCTTCTTTGGTTGTGTCTATCCGCTATCTTTTCCTAATTTTGTTGTTTTTCAAGGACAAGATATCTCTCTCTCTCTCTCTCTCTCTCTCTCTCTCTCTGTTTTTACTGTATTTTGCATAGTACCTGGCACCACATCTTAAACATAAGGAGGTTTTAAACATGGCAATTATTAAAGTTAAGAACAAAAATATGTTTGCAGTGGATTCTCAGCTCCAGTGGAGAGAGCTTGAGCACAAATAACACAGAGCCGCTTTTGAGATCAAACGGGAGAACTGGAAAGGCAAGTCTAAAAGAAACCCTTTGATGGGAGGTGGTTATCTCGCACCAGTGGAACCACCGCGAGATTGCGGGAAAGGCAAACGCAGGCTCTGTGCCTGACGAACAGGAGCACGGTGGACCAGCTCGGAAAGGAGTGGCCGGGAGGTTGCAGGGCTCCTGGAGCCCAGGAACGAGCTTTACATGGAACCGTGGAGAGTGAATAATTTCCAAAGTACGATGTGAATTTTCAGTAGTCACCTTCCTAGGACTAGAGAAGCAGGGTACTGTGTTACTTTATCAATACTTTACGTGCCGTTTGCTGTGTGTGGCTGCGTGTACCAGAATGAGTACACACATTCTCGTGTTGTATGGGATGATTTTCCCCTTTCATTTTATTTTACTGACATTTGTTGGGTACCATGTGCACTGTATTGTTAGAAGCTTTTTAGCCATAAGATCTCCACAGAAAGAACAGGGTTCCAATATTAGCAGCCATCCTGGAAACCTCTCTGAAGATACATTTTCCTTAACTTTAAAAAATTGGAGTCCCTTTGAATTTAATTTCCTTAAAATATATATATTTTTTATTTTCTCCAAATAATAGATGGCATCGCTCAGAAAGTCAAATAATACCATGAGGCTTATAATGAAAAACAACAGCTTCGGCCTCTTCCTTCTTCATTTCTGCTTCCCAAAGGTGACCACTTCAATTCACTGAGTCGTTTCCTTTGACTTGCTTCCGTAAACTGCTGTTTCTCAATAGTTCAATGATTTGTTTCTATAGAAGATGAGGATTCAGCTCACTTATATTACCTCCTCCCAAACACGGCCCCCTCCACACAGAATCTCCCCTTCCCCTTCGCCATGCTCTCAGTACAGCTAGATCCTCATAGATTGCAGAGTATGATTTTTAAAGGGTTCCACATTTACATGACTGATTCTTGCACTGCGCCTCACAGTTAAACTGTCCAGTATAGTAGGATTGTATTTCCTTTTTCATATGACTTTTTGGGTTTTTTCTATCATTAATAACTGTCTATTTTTTTAATTGGTGTTGTCTCTGCACCTACCTTCAATCTGTCCTCAAACTTTTTTGACTGTAAAACTTTCAGTGGGATCAAACCTCAGATCATCTATTTTTCTGATATTTTCTTTTCTTTTTTCTCCCTCCCCCTCCCTCTCCCCTTCCCTCCACCCTCTCCAACATTTTTTCTCTCTCTCTTTCTCAGTCTCCTCCCTTCTCCCTGCCCCTCTCTCTCCCTCTCTC